TTACGTGACTGGAGTTCACGCAGGAGAAAAGTATTCAAATAAATAATGGCTGAAAACCTCCCCAATTTAGCAAGAGACATAAACCTACAGATTCAAGAAGCCAACGAGTCAAAAATATGATAATCCAAAGAAATCCACACCAAGAAATCCTCTGAAAGCAGCTAGGGAAAAACACTGAGATTGCTAGATTCGCTTCTAAAAAATGTTGTACCTGTTTTTAGAATTCCCACAACAGTCTCTGAGCAGTAATTCCATCCTCACCCACTGCACTTACCACTGAATTCTATCAATCTTTAAAATCTTGACTTTTCTGCATAATAACAGAAAACTACATATTATCATTGCTTTAATTTGAAGGGCTCCTAGAGAGCTTCTGGGGGCTGGTTTCCACAAAAACCAGCCACATCATTACAGGGTTGGGACTTTCAGTGACCACCCCCCCACCTCTGCGGAGGGGACAGGAGGAGACTGAGTTCAATCACCAATGGCCAATGATTTAATCAATCACGCCCATGTAATGAAACCTCCATAGATCTAGAGAGCTTCCGGACTGGTGAATCCATCCACATGCTGAGGGTGGTGCACCCTCACTCCATGGGGACAGAGGCTCCTGTACTCAGGACTCTTCCAGACCATGCCCTAGGTACTTCTTCATCTGGCCTGTTCATTTATATCTTTTATAAGAAACTGTAATAGTAAGTGTAGCATTTTCCTGCATTCTACGAGTCATTCTTGTAAATTATCAAACCTGTTGGGGGGCTGTGGGAATTCCTGAATTTGCAGCTGGCTGCCAGAAGTGTGAGTAGCCTGGGCACCCCATTTGCAGTTGGCATCTAAAGCAGGGGCAGTCTTGTGGGACTAGGCCATCTAACTTGTGGGATCTGATGCTAACTCCAGGTAGATAGCATCAGAATTGGAGAATTGATTGGTGAATTGATTGGAGAATTGAAAAGACACCACATATTTGGTGTCAGAGAGTATCACAGAATACACTACAAATCTTCCCTAAGCTTCCATTCCAAGGAACTGATTCCCCCACCTCTCCATAAACAAGTTGCACCTTACAAGGACCCCACTAAAATAATCCATGGGGATGTACTCCCAGCCCAGAGTTCTCACAACGAGTCTTCGAAGTAGGTAAAGCTGCTTCTTAGGGTCCTTCTGCTCCTTTCTGTGCCCCTCAAACGATCACGTGCCAGTCACTGACCATGATCTTTCTAAACTGGAGGAAATGCTGAAATGTCACTGGGCACCTGTTTAAGACTCTAGCATCGTTATGTTATGCTTAATCTTTGACGCCGAGGGTTTGAGGATAGAAGAATGGTAGTGACATTCACACAATGGAAAAGTGTGCTCTAAGAAACATATTTGGTCTTTGTCCCTGGTTCCCAGCACAGAGCTCCTAAAACCTGAGTGATAGGAATGTGTTGAGGTATTCAGAAGGAGCCCCTTTCAGTCACACCTGAGTTTATGTTACTGAGGCGACTTGAGCAGAGCCCCTAGATAGCCTCAGGCTGAGGCTGGTCACTAGAAACAGCAAGTGATAGAGAATTGGAAGCAGGAAGCGCTGGGTAGGGCTGGAGATTAAGCTCTATAAAAACTCTCAAACAACAAGATTCCATGAGCTCCAGGTTGGTGAACATGCAGAAGTGTCGGGAGGGCACTATACCATACCATACCCAGCCCTGTGCTTCTCTTCTCTTCCATCTGGCTGTTCCTGAGTTGCATCCTTTTATAATAAGTTGGTAAACATAAGTAAATGTTTCCCTGAGTTCTGTGCACTGTTCTAGCAAATTGTTGAACTCAAGGAGGGAGTCAGGGGAACTCCAGTTCATAGCTGGTTGGTCAGAAGTACAGGTGAGAACTGACTTGCGTTTGGCATCTGAAGTGGGGGCAGTCTTGTGGACTGAGTCCTTCCCCTGCGGGATGTGATGCCATCTCCAGGGAGACAGTGTCAGAATTGAGCTAAACTGTTGTGTCTGCTGTGAATTAGAGAATTCTTTGGCACGGCAAAATCCCGCACATTTGGCGGCCAGAAGTGAAGTGTCGAGAGCAGAGGGAGAAAACAGAGCTTTCCCTTACAAAAAGTGTTTATGGTTGTAGTTTTGCTTCATATTTTAGGCACAGAAAAGTGCTGCTCAATGAGTAAGTACATGTAACTTTAATTTCAAAATTTCCTGCCTCTTTATGAAACGATTTAGGGTAGCTTATAAAAGACACAAAATTAATAAAATAGGAATGACAGGGGGCAGATGAGGAGGAGGAGGAGTGGAGCAGTAACCTGGACCGTGCGGGTTTGGCACAGACATAGGCCCTCCGCCTCTGGACTGCACAACAGAGAAGGAACAGGGAAGGGTGACCCGTTCTCATCGGAGAAATGGAGGGACAGAGCAGCTCCTCGGGGGGCCCTGGCACTCCCCGCACACTCGGTGGTGGACTCTGCAGACGGGGAAAGGGGCGCCATAATGGGCAGTGTCCCGTCCTCACTGGTGTTTCTACAGTGAACGCAAACGTAACCCCCAGTAAAAGTCAAAGGTGTGACATTAAAGGTAAAATCCATAATGTGGTTGACAAGGGTGGCTTTCCAGTGTCATAACTCTCATGGTGCTTGGACTATACTCAAATGATGTTCCCCAAAGATAATCAGTGGACTGGGATCTTGATAAGAGCGGGCTGCTAAATGGCTCAGGAGGCCACGTTTTAGCTTGAGGCCTGGAATCAGAGTGTCCTCTTCTGATCATTAAGGACAGATTCTAGAAACTGGGCAGGGAGCTGGCAGTGCTGAAATTCAATCATGAAAAGTCACAGCCTCTAACCAGAATTCTTGTCAACACGTATTCTGGTCTGCCTCCATGGGGAGAAGAGGCGGTGGGGCCCCTGCCCACGAAACAGCTGGGGATTTCCTCCGACAGCTGAGCCAGAGGGCAGCGGAGACTTCCTCAGTGACCCAGAGGAACACGGCAGAGATGGAGGAGAAGGCCTGAGCCTGGAACAGAGTGGGGTACTCGCTAATTCACCAGGGCCCTGGCAACGCTGCTCCGGACGACACGTCCTCTCTCCATGACGGAAGGAAGTGACCTCCTGCACGTTGTCCGAAGACGTCTGCTTATGCACTTGAGAACGTCGCCAGCAACAGCGTGGCTGCAGTGGGAACGCATCTCGTGGACCTCCGGGTCATGGCCCCGCGCTGCACCTGAAATTCATTACCGTGTTTTGCTGCCCCGGTAACTGAACGTGGCAGGAATACTACGGCAGCCTGGTTCCCGGGACAGGCAGGACTCCTCTGAAGCTGACACTGTCAGCCCCCACCAGCCTTGCCAAACCTCCTTAGACTGCTGGTGGGCTGGGGCCCTTCTGCCCCTTCATGGGGCTCAGGCTCGGCTTGCGCTGGCTCTCCAGACTCCACCTCCCTCTCGTCTTCTCTCATGCAGGCACCTCCTCTGATAAAACCTGGGCGTGTTTAATCCCATCTGGTCCTCTGCCTCTCAGAAGACCTGAGCCAACACAAACAGCTGCTCCTGTGTTTCTCTTAGTTGATGTTTAACTTTCCCGACAACAGAAACAGCGGGTCCATGTTTCTCAGAGGACGGACCTGCACAATTTGTGCTGTGTTTTGTGTTGTTTTTAAGCCAGGTTTTTCCATAGGAGAATACTCCTCCTTCCATTCCTTATGGCAGAGGGATAAGTAGCCGATTCATCTAAAATTGCATCAAACTCTCAAATGTCAAACAAAAAGGTAGCAGCCTGTGACATAGCCTTGCTTTAACACGAGAGGTTTATCTTAAATGTAGAGTTTAATCCACATCTGGGTGCTGTTTACAGAAGAGGTTGAGGAAAGGAAGCTCAATGAAAGCTGCAGAGTCTTAATCTTGCTTTGGGGAGCACCCTCATCCCAAGGCCCGTGGCATCCACCCTAGGAGCTTGCCCACAAAAGAGAACTAATGCTTGTTGAACGAATGAAAGAGATTCTGTACATGGGGTGTCTGGTTCCTTTCAGTGCCTAAGTGTTCAACAGGAGGTTACTGAGGTCTGGATTAGAACGTTCGATAGCAGGCGTCCATAAGAGTTTCAGACGTTCTGCAGACAGATGGATACGGGAGAACCGACAGACTCCTGTAAGCTCACTAAGAGATGTTCGTGAAGAAGAAACAGAAGTTAGAGCGTCTGGATAGGCAGAGAAGGTTCTCCACTGGGGCCAATAAGCAAGAGGAGAGACGCAGGATCAGTCGAAAATGGATGTCCCCAAAGTCGCTGCCCAGTCCTAGAAAAAAACCCTCCTCCATTCAAATTGCAGAGAACACTGAGCCCATCCTCATCGGAGGGCTTCCATGGAGACAGAGCACACGCAAAACAAAAGAGGGCAAGACCATTCGTCTTCACTCAGGGCTTCTATTCTTTTAATGATCCAGCTGCTGAAGCTCCACCCCAAAACCCTACATTCCAGCCCTTTCTCTGATATAAGGTGCAAAGTCTCTTGTGTCTCCATTTTGGGACCAGATGCATAATTTTCGTCTAGTAGAAATCTTTTTTAGGTACCTGGAGAAGTTTTGGGCTTTCCTCCAACAGACCAGGAAGGTCAAGAGGTAGGTTCTGGAGACCTCTTCGTGGTTGCTGAATGCAGAGCTCATGCAGATGCTTGCAAACGTAAGGTAAGGAGCTTCTCAGGGCTGGTCAGTGGCTCAAAGTGAGAGCCAAGGGAGGCTGTTAAACCCACCCCTCACAGCCTCGTTACAGCTTCCTCATGTTGTTACCCAACATATTAAGCCATGGACACAATTAGATTCCTTCATTGGTTCAGTGCCCTATTCACTCCTGCTAGCAAGTATATTCCCCTACATTTTCTTTTTAAAATATATGAGTGGAACCTACAACTTCATAAACCAGATATTTTTTGGATTTTTACTTTCTTGGGGAAATGATAGTTTGGCTTATTTTCTGTAACTTCTCAGTGGTGTTACGGGGCTCAGAGCTCCTATTCCTGGGGGCCCATTTCAACATACCTCCGGTCCGTGGGGTACAGTTCCACTGTGACCACATCAAGAGAGTTCCAGGCTGAGATGGTCAAGCCGTTGTACAGACACAGCATGCCTATCATCATGGATTCGCTGGTGCCGAACCAAAGGAAGAAACAGCTGATCCCAGAAAGTACCATAGAGCCACCTGCCAACGAAGCCAACAAAGGCTGCAATGATTCCCGCCATCCTGGCAGAGCAAGCAGCCTAGCATCTTTGAGATCTCCCAGCAAACCCCAGTCTCAAGGGAAAGCTGCAGCCTGGGCTCCGTAAAGCTCAGGGACAGGTGTGCTCACCTATTTGAAGGTTGTCTCTCTGACTGCCTTCTGAACACAGCAAGCATGACATGCATATCATTAATTATTCAGCTACTTAAGTGGGAAAATATCCATTAGTCGCACATAATTAGTTTTTCAGTCTGCTCACTCATGGAAGCTGCTCAAATGAAATGCAATTAGACATAATTTTCACTAAAATTTAGTCCTAGTGAAAGGTCTTAAGGGATTTCTCCTCATCTCCAGGGGATGCAAATCCCTAAGGGGGCAGGGAGTACAGTGGGAAACAGGCTCCCTCTAGACTGCAGGGGCAGCTCTTTTTTTTTACGTGGAAGCAGGCACATACCTAGCATTGTTAAGCGCCCAATTCTGTCCATCAGGAGAGCAGACACGATGTTCCCTGGCAACACCGCCAGTGTCCCCAGGAAGTTGACAAAATAAATCCAGTAGGCACTATAGTCATCATCAAAGGTAATCTGGCATCCCGTCTTGTTGCGAAAAAATGAGCAGTTGTGAAATTTGCTATCAATGAATTTATATGGCTCAAAATCTGTGGACACAAAGAAGGACAATTCGTCAAGCTCTTCACAGTTGTGCACTAGTGTAAGAAAGCGTGCCCAGAATTCAGAGAAGCATCATGGTATCATAGACTCCTTCAGGGCTTCAGGGCCTGGCCAAAGCACGGGGTCTGGTCCAGGACCTCATGTTACAAAGAAGCTGAATGAAGGCACACCTTTGTCAAATAAAGGAATAAACTAGAGAGCCCAGTTATCTTCTGATTTCTTACAGTTGGCCATTGCTCATCATATTACTTGCTTACTCCTTTACGATGCTACTTTGTTCTAATTATCATGTTACGTAAGGACCACCATTATAATATTAATAGCTTCCACACTACAATTCCAAAATGTGCATGAATCAGTCTTATTATTGCCATTTTATGGGACTCTGAGGCACAGAGAAGGAACAGGACTTTCCTTAGGTCCTTGAGACTGAAACTGTAAGTTAAGGTCTAAGTGGAGGAACCTGCAGAGGAACAAGAGTCAGTCTCACTGGAAGGTCACCAGCATTCACTGCTGCTATTTCTCTTGAACTTGGATCTAATTCAAGAAAGGCCTGCAGACGATGACGGGTTCTGCTAAAAGGCAGTGAGAATCAAAACTGTTATTGTCAAGATCCGCCTCAAGAGTTGGTCTTCTGAGGCTGAATAGGTTAGAAGTCAGTGATAGTACCATTTGAAAAAACCCGAAGACGCCGGGCTCCATTCTCATCTGAAGCTGAGCCGAGTGGGCTCCTGTCTGAGCACCAACATGGCCGGGCTGGCATCAGGATAGGCTGATACTCCTATGAGTGTCAGGCTGTTATTCTGGACTCACAGGACAGACAGACCAACGTGTGGGGGTGGGGAAGCGGGGGGCTTTGCAATCAGATAAACCTGGTTCAAATATCCGCTGTTACTAGTTCTATGAATGTGGCCAAATTGCTTACTTTTCCAAGCCCCAGCTCTTGTGAAAACTCAACGAGATAATGAATGTCTACTGACCTAGAGTCGGAACCAGCTTACAGAAGGTGTTCAATGTTTGTTTCCCTTCCTTTTTTTCCCTGGTGAGTTTTCCAGACTCCACTAAATGGGCTGGACGGAAAACCTGTATCTGACTGAGCCTGGCCACATGTTGTCCATCTCGGGTAACTGGTTCAGGCATGCTCACTTAAGCAAACACCAGATTTTGAAACCAGGATTATCAAAATAAACAAACTATAGGCTAATTCTTTGCTTTAAAAATTATTCACCAAAGGATTTTTTTTTCAACTTTGAACTTCAGCAAGTTCCATTTGCAGTAAACCTGACAAAGATAAATAATACAAGTTTCACTTTGATCCACCCTGATTGAGGACTCCATTCACGTATGCTCCATCTGCACTCCCCACAAGCCTCTGCCCACACCATCACATGGGGTCACGGTTCTGCCAAGAACTGGGTCTTTGGAAGAGATCCCTGGCAGGGCTACATAGCACACCTACCTGTGTTGTCAAAGACAGTATCAATAAACGTGCAGTTCTTGAAGTAGGTGTTAACTGAAGTCACATCCTCAAAGGTGCAGGACTTAAAAACCGAATCTTTGAAAGTTATAGATTTGAACTTGATTCCTAGGAATCTGTCCAACACACAAAAAATTCGTATCAATGACTGTGTCCATCAGGGTTCAAAGCTAAGTCAAACAGGTTTAGAGATGTGATGCCCCACTATGGACTCTCTTAGTTATGAAGGACATTGGCTCCTGGGTTTTCTAAGCTCTTAGCTTTTCCTCATTGCTTTTGGCTCTCTCATTGCTCACCAATATTATTTTACACAGAAGGAGAGGTGGCATTCGAGATAACTTCATTCAGCTTTTTGCAATGTCGGTCAAAGCCTTTGTGGGGTGTGCAATTGGAGGGAGAGAGTTTGGAGACACTGTGGCTATCGACTCTTTACTTTCCAATCCTATCCTCTTGTTCCTTCACATACACCTTTATTTGAAAATTCTCTACCTGGGCTTAACAGCTCTAACTTGAGGACGTGCTCCCATGCTCACTTTTCATGAAAGTCTGTTTCCTAAGCTGAAAACCCAAGGCTTCTTCATTCCAGTACAGGGACTTGCAATTACGCTGAAGAGAGGATGTGAGAATTCTGCTTCATTTATGTGGGGAACGATTGACTCAGGGGCCAAGAAAACTCACAGGTCATACTCATTTCCAAGAACGTTTTTCTTCTTACAGCCTACAGGTATTCCTTGAACCAAGCAGAAGGATGAGGGCTCTGCTAATTTTTGGAAACGTGCAGAATGGTGAAACCTGCTCAGACACATTTTTGGGTGCTGCAGGGGGGTTCTAGGTGGTGAAGATGACAACAGTCACAATGATCCCAATGTCTTAGAGGAGTCTGCGATTCAGATCTGTCCGTGTTGATAGGGACTCCCAGGAGACAGGGGTAAATATTCATCAACGTGTCTCGGTAATTTATTAAGAGACTATGAATGTGTACTTAGCCAGTCACTGAGAGGAAAATGCTTGTTCGACTGAGGAAGAAGTTATTATAGCAAATACCACTCTAATTAGGGGCAGAAAGGGACTGATCTCCCAGGTGAGTGAGCTGGCTGACTTAAAAGCAATGCCCTGTTGAGTACGTGCAAAATCGTTCTTGCCCTAACACCTGACAGCATTTGTCAGTTCCAAGCACACTGTGGCCTAACAGACCAACCACCTTAAAAAATCATCTTATTTCAACCCCTACTCCTGGCCAAGAGTAGAAGCATCTGTAAATTTACCCACCAAAGGAGGGTAAATAATGGCACATTTTAAGAAGATTATCAATTTTCTGAAATGGACCTGAATTTAGAAAGGGGAAACTATTTTATTTTTTTTTAATGGATAATATATACACAGAATACATATGGTATAAAATTCAAAACGTGGAAAAGGAAAAAACAAGTCTCTTTCCACCATCCTAAAGCCATCCAGCTCTTTTGCCCAGAGATGACCACTGCTGTCAGTTTCTCATGTGCTCTTTCCAGAGCATTCTGGATCTAGGTTCTAGAGACACACTATTCTACACTTCACTATCTCCTGATAATAGCCCGCCTCTGAGGTTATTCCATATCAGCACACAAAGAGTTGCCATTTTATGATGTGGAATAGGAAAGCTATTTGTAAAAAATGAGTTAGCTACTGGTATTGCAAATTTCCCCGGAAGACAAAAAAAAAAATTCTATCACCTTCTAAACTGAAAGTACATGTTTTACAAGGATTTTAATACTATTAAAATTATTAATCATTATATTGCTAATGTAAAAAATTTCTCGGGGCCGGCCCAGTGGTGCAGCAGCTAAGTGTGTACATTCTGCTTCGGCAGCCTGGGGTTCGCCAGTTCAGATCCTGGGTGCGGACATGGCACGGCTTGGCAAGCCATGCTGTGGTAGGCAGCCCACATAGAAAGTAGAGGAAGATGGGCACAGATGTTAGCTCAGGGCCAGTCTTCCTCAGCAAAAAGAGGAGGATTGGCAGCAAATGTTAGCTCAGGGCTAATCTTCCTCAAAAACAAAAAAATTCCTTAATGATGGCTGGCTGAATATCCAGCTTAGAACTTTAACCAATATTATTAAAAACATGACTGTCAGAGACACAAACATACATTAGAAATTTCTAATGGAGTAACAATACTTTTTTAAATAAATGAGGTAAATTTTTAGCCTAGAGTTACAGAGCACTTGACTTGACCATTTCTGTGGAAAGCAAGCACAGATTCGAGTCAGTATTTTCTGTGGGAGAGCGAAGGGGACCCTGTGTGGCCTGGATAAGGACTGGCGCCCAAGTCAACTGCAATTCAAACAATGATCTCCTGGTTGGTGACCCTCCTTTTCATTACACAAATCATAAGCATCCCACAGAACTCTTTTTCATCTTTCAAACTGGTTTTTTCCCTGGGAAACTTTGTTGAATTATTTTAGATTTTTACTTTTATCACTTCTGAAATTGGGACAGTTTCCTAGGAATGATGTAAGCTTCAGGAACTGATATCAGCAATTACTCACTCAGACAACAAGCAATGGATAGAAACAACCCCTTGTCTATCCGTTTCTCTTTCTAAAAGAATGAACCAGAACCACCTGCCTGAGCCAGTTTTCTCTCCTCGTCAAGAGGCATTCCAGATTCCACACTCAAAAAAGGCCTTTGCTAACTTATTCCATATTTTCAAAGCCCTTAACTTTGGGGGCTCATTCCTGTTCTCTAATTGAAATTCTTCCTGATACGATTTAACTCCAATTCTTGATTCTGGTTCAGGGAGAAGGAAAGAATTCTGAAAAGTAGTCCCCTTTTTCAGGAACAGAAGACAGGGATCAAATTATACCTTAGATTTCTTCTCTGAACCAAAAAACGCTATAACCCATCTTATTCTCACATACTCTTTATTCCTCTGTAACTGACTTTCATAGCAAATTTAAGTTATTTCAAGGTTTCTGGACCTGCCATTGTCGTATTCCATTCCAGTATGAATCTGATTTTGCATGGTAAAGTTAATCGTAAAATTTGCATATCTCTCTCTTGGCACATCTCTCATTGGCAAGGAGACTGCCTGCAGGTGTTTGATGACATCAGGGAACCAAACAGACAATCCATAGTACCTGCAAAGACAAAGAAACGTGAGTCTGTAAAGGTGCAAGCGCACCAGCAGCAACGCGCGGCTCCCTGCCCCTCTCAGAGCTGGCAGTTCTGGAGAAGGACTTCTGGTCCTGACTGGCCCCCTGTAACACGATGAAGCATCAGACAGCCATCGGCACTGCCCCCTCACCCGACGGTTAAATTTGTAAAGATCAAGCTAGATGGATGGTCTGGGGTTACCTGCAGAGCCAGGTATGTAATTCCTGATGCTTCCTGTGGGAAGGGACATCCCTAAGAATCCCATCCTAGGCCAACACATGGCACCTGGCCCCAACGTTTTTCTTATCGCCCAGGCTGCACGGGGGAACCCCGTCTCCTGGTCTGCTGGTACAAACCCCGGGGTGGAAAAACCGTGGGGGCCCTTAAAGAACGACCTCTTTACTAATGGAGACTCCTTCTGGATTCCCACACTCCCCCGATACTGCTAGCCTGGGGGTACAGCCTCATTTCTCAAAGTGGCTCAAGGTTGGGAAAAGGGCCCTTAGGTTATTATCTGAAAATCCAGGTCATTTCCACTTTTGCCTCTTGACCTCTAATGAGTTATTGTGACAGGTGTCAGCTCAGTCACTCTCCTGTGCTCTCTAGGACAGCGGCCACCAACCACAGTGGCTCCTGAGCAGCTGAAAGGTGGCTAGTCTGAAGGAGATGTGCAATAAGTATAAAATACCAAATCTGAAGACTTACGAAAAAAAGAATGAAAAATTAAGTCAATAGAAATTAACCATTTTATACTGATTATATGTTGAAATAATATCTTGGACATAATGAGTAAAATAAAATATATTATTAAAATTAATTTCACCTGTTTCCTTTTACTTTTCTTTTTTAGTGTGGCTGCCAGAAAACTTAAAATGACACATGTGAGGGCCAGTCTGGTGGTGCAGTGGTTAAGTCTGCGCACTCCACTTCAGAGGCCTGAGGTTTGCCGGTTCAGATTCCAGGCACAGACCTACATACACACTGCTTATCAAGCCATGTTGTGGCAGGCATCCCACATACAAAGTAGAGGAAGGTAGGCATGGATGTTAGCTCAAGGCCAATCTTCCTTAGCAAAAAAGGAGGAGGATTGGTAATGGATGTTCCTCAGGGCTAATCTTCCTCGGAAAAAAAACCCCAAAAAGCAAAAAAAATAACATCCTTCTTTAGTGGCTGGCCCAGTGGCGTAGTGGTTAAGTTTGCATGCTCCACTTCGGCCGCCCGGGGTTTGCAGGTTTGGATCCTGGGGGTGAACCTAGCGCTGCTCATCAAGCCATGCTGTGGTAGTCTCCCACATAAAATAGAGGAATCTTGGTACAGATGTTAGCTCAGTGACAATCTTCCTCAAGCAAAAAGAGGAAGAATGGCAACAGATGTTAGCTCAGAGCCAATATTCCTCACAAAAAAATTTTTAAAAAATGACATGTGGCTCACATTATATTTCTATTGACACTGCTGCTCGAAACTGGTGGTTCCCGAGGTGGGGTCCCTGGACCAGCAGCGTCAGCATCCCCTGGGACCTTGTGAGAAATGCACACCCTCAGGTCCCACGCACACCTGCTGAATCAGAGCCTCTGGGGGGGGCGTCCTGCAGGTGATCCTTCTGATGCCCACGCAAGTTTATCCCCAGTTACGCTGGGTTACACGGGGAAAGCAGTGGTCGTGAGCACAGCCTTTGCAGGTGGACACGCCAGGTGCAAATCCTGGCCTGGCCGCCTACCAGCCGGGGGCATCTTGGCCTCAGTGACCACGTCTCAAACATCAGAATGATGATCGTATCCACCTTCCTGGGTGGCTGCTCGGATTAAATGGGCTGCAATGTACCTAGCACATAGTGAGTGCTCAAAAGACTCCGTAGTTTTTATCCCCATCACTGCCATCAGGATTCCTGAAACATCTCTGCCTCAGGAGTCCACAGATTCCAACCCCTTCTCTTCTGAGACCATGAATTAACTACTGCGGGAATGTGCATGGTGGCCACGGAATAAGAAATAACTCAGGGATGCAACATCCATCGCATTGCTCTCATTACATGCATAGGACAAAATCTTTAAAAATGGCAACAATGAGGGAAGCACGCCACCCTGGAACATCCCTCTCAACGATGCGGAGGAGTGGCAGCTAATTTTCATTTATTCAGCAAACATTTCAGGCACTGTTTGAGGTTTCAGGGATGTTAGAGGGAAATCATAAAGGTTAAAATGTGGTCAATAACAGATAAGTAAACAAAATAACAAACCAGATCATCCTTAGCCTGTAAATCGTCACATCTTAGAGGAGGACTTTCGTCTCGCTCATCTCGGAACCTGGGCCAGTGTTCAGCACGTAGCAGGCACTTACACGTGTTAATTTTCAGCCCTCTCTTCCTTCACGGATTAATGGGTTTTCTAGAACCTAAGTGGGAGTTACTTTACATCTTCTAAATGAGCTGTCTCAATTTAGAAATAGGAAACGAAAACCTGGTAGTGTCCCCAAGTCACACAGCGGAACCGGCTCTTAGGTCTCCTGCCCCCACCTTCCCATCTCCCCTTTGTCGCCCCTCCCAGCACCAGGAAAGATGGGTCATCTCTGACCACTACCTGCTTTAATTTAGGGATGGTAAGAGACAGAGTTGCTGCATCGATCTTAGGCTCTACGAGGCACCAAGAGCCTAGTGACTTGAAAGTGTGGGGTACTAGCTAACTGCCTTTTTAAACAGAAAATTAGGCAAAAATGGAGTGGTGCTCACATATTCTAAAGTGACTGTATCAACTATTAGCAAACAAAGTTCTGAAATGTTCTCCCTACCTCCTTTATCCTTAGAGCACATATATGGTGGTTTTCTTCACCAGCTCACTATTTATCGAGCACTTATTATGTGCCAGGGATATACATTGGTGAACAAAACAGTTTACGATTCTTGTTCTCTCAGAGCTTCCAGACATGAGACAGAGCTCCATTCTTTCCAGAATAAATAAGCTTTTTCCTATTAGAAGATGGAAGGTGCTGAAGAGAATAATAAACTGAGAAGGGGATGGGGAGTGCTAAGAGGCTGTGATTTAAAAAAGGTGCTTCGGGAAGGTGTCACTGAGAAGGTGACATCTGAGGGACGTCTCCAAGGAGGCAAGTCAACAAGCCAGGGGCAGCATGAGGGCCTGACAAGGGAAGGGTTCCTGCACGTTCAGGGACAGCACAGAGGCCCGTGAGGCCGGCCGAGCAGACGGGAGCAGCGGGGGGAGTCATGGAGACAAGCCACCCAGGGTCTCATGGGACTTTCCAAATACTATTGGTTTCACCCCAGCTGTATGACAAGATAAATACAATAATTGGTTTATAAAAACCATAACTATCAGCATATCTAAGCTGAAAAAAATTCTTTCCTAGAAGGTTAACTGCATCAAACCGTATAAGAAAAGAAAGCAGTGTGATTGGGAGTTAGGGTGTGGAAATTTAAAGATTTCGCTCACCAAGAATTTAAACGTCACTTACCCAAAGGACAGGGTGAACCAAACGATTGCAAGCTTTATTGTGTTTTCCCTGACTGGGTAGTTGAAACATCTCATAAACGTCAACCAAATCTGTGAAATATTGGAGAGTTAGTTTTCTTATGCTGTTATCAAGTCAACCCCACTCCCCACCCTCCCTCCAACAAATTATAAAAAAGTTTAATTTTCTTTAGGCTGGATTCATTTGAACTTAAAATGTAAAAGCTAAAGGCTACAGGAAACCAAATACTGGAATTTTCATTTATCGGCTTCCTGGAGGCCAATAGATAGAGTAACTCAAGACTTCAGTGCACCCGTCACTGACAAGACTCCTTGCCTAACGCCTTCCCTTTCCCAAGACGGAATGTCTTGGCTACTGTGCTGCTCCCAAGGAGCTCCTATTACCTGGTCCTGTTCCAGGAGTCAGGTGTCCCGGGCAGAAGGGGGAAGAACCACATTCATAGAACTGGTTCAGTCAACGCTGCTTCTGACTAACCATAAACGCAGTAAGCGGGCCCGCGAGCCAGGGCGGGTTTGTTACTTACCCCATACAGTTCTGTGCGGATCCGTACAAAACACCTCCTGTACCACGTTCCTGTGTCACTCTCAATTTCAATCAGCTCATCTATTTGCTTTGGAGTTTTGATTCTGTTTACCTGTAAAGAGCAAGACAGAGAAAGTGCCGAGTTCTCTTCTCTGAAGTTGCTGAGTTTAGGCTTACCGTTTGTTTTTAAAGGAGCGGAAACTGACTCCACCAAAAAGGAAGTAGGTATTTGCTAATCACTCCCTACATATATAAGACCATTGCTGTAAATAGACAGACCCCCACAGAACCTAAAAGAACTGAATAAAGAACAGACGGATGGGGAAGCAGAGAAACGAGGAAGAGCAAAGAGTAATGGAACAAGAAGAAGCTGAAATGGCCCTCTCTGAACCATCACTACAAAGGCACACCAGCAGACAGGACATCCAGAGAGATGAGCTTCTGGATCAAGAATTACTTTGCTTGGACTAAAGTGACTGTACACACTTCTTTGGAACCTACTTACCTGATGGATCTGGCCCCTGAACACAGTTCTGAAAGCCCTCCCATCGAACTTTCACTCTTAGAGCATCACTCTGACTCTTGCCTCCTCCTGCCTCAGCCTAAGCACAGAGACTGCTCAGCAAACGCCCACCGGGGGCCACGACGCAAGGCCCAGGGAATGAGCTTGGGTTGAAAGGGTCAACACTGACTCTTCAGCAATCAAAAGGGGAATAAGTGATGGAGGCTCCCCGTGAAAAGCTGCATGCTGACTTCAGCTAGCCTCCCTTGGCTAAGAAAAGAACCAAGGGCCAGGAGAAGCCATGTCTTCAACACAGAGAATGAAGCCTGAAAAGAGGACCTGTCCCATCTTACCCTGTTAGTCAGCATTTACCTGCTTTTGATAAATCTCAGAGAGGACACAGAAGTGTGCATACGTTACCCCTGCCAGGGATCACTTTTGAACAGATTTTTCTGAAGATTCTGCCAATATGCAAAGCGGTAGTTCTATTGCAAGAATCTAGGTACCAAGGCTGGCTTTTGACAGAGGTGTTTAGGGGACCCTCGGTATCTTTCAGCTCATACCAGGTGAGCAGTAGCCTCTTCCTGGCTATCTTAACAAAGATGTCTGCATTTAATGAAAACAATGTCTGAGTTCAATATGGGATTCCAAATAGAGTGACCTCAAAATAATCCACGCAGCATTATTTTGTGACACTTCAGATATTTTTTTTAATCACAAGGGTGTTCTTATCACTCAACATCTTCCTTCTGGGAGGCTTCCCCTTCTCCACTCACCAGTGTCCGTTTGTTCCTTCATGCAGTGGCCCCTTGGGGTGCCGGACGTGGCACCGGACCCTGGAGATGCAAATGTACAACATCCCACCCTCCAAGAAAGTACCATACAAAGGAAAAGTTCCCCACTGGAAGTCTGTGTCAAGATGGGAGAGACGTGCCGTTTGGAACACCCAAGCAGACCTGGGAGTGACAGAGAAGGCTTCACGGACTGCGGAATTTGAGCTGGGGCTTATGGAGAAGTATGTCATTGGCAGTGTGTGTAAACTACTCGGAGGGCATTCCAAGCGGGAGGAATACCATGTGCCAATGGCCAGAGGTGTTAGTAAAAATAGTGTTTTGGGAAACTATAGAGAGCTTGAGATCCATGAAGAATAGTCCAAGGGCAGAGGGAAGTGAGTAATGAGGACTGAACCAAATCGGTGGCAGTGAGGGTGGAAAGTAAGGGACAATGATGAGTGATATTTAGGATGGAGAATAATAGACACAGTGATTTCTTGGATACAATGGAGATAAAGGAAAGAAAGAAATAGGATGTTTTCAGGGCTCTGGTTCAGGTAGGGCTGGTGGTGCTTGCTGACAGAATTTAGGACAAGGAAGAGGGTTGGAGACTGTTATGGCGATAAGTTCAGATTTAGAAATTCAGAATTTGAAGGGCTCGTAGTACATAGAAGGATGGCAGCAAAGCCCTTCAACATGCATGTCTGGAGCTCAGGAGACTTGCCCATCAGGAGAGAGAGGTGCAGGAAGTAGCTGAGAGCAGCAAAGGAGAGTGTGTAAGGTTAAAAAGAAGTTAGCTGAAAACAAAGCCCTGAAAAACAAGATTTAAGGTAGGGGCACAGAACGAAGAGCTTAAAAAAAGAGACCTTGAAGGAAAGCCTGCGAATTCACGGCACTGGAGATGAATCAAGGGAGAGAACAGATTTGTCCTGGTGGAGTCATGCAATGACCTTGGAAGTCACACTATAAAGGACTTTGAGATTATCCAATTCTTTTGGAGCATTCCCACCTATTCCCGCCTAACCTTTATATAATAACACTAATGTGGATGACCATGAGTGGACTTGATAACTCGAACCTTCTGGGAGAAAAAGCAGGCAAGCAGGACAATGAGGCCCTACAGAAACGCCTTCTCAGCAGTCCTTGGAAGACGGCCTATCCTCACCTGGCTGGGAAGGACAAGTGACACTGAGCATGTAGGTGAGGTCTCAAGATTCCTCCAGCCTCGTGATCCTTTAATTTAAAAACATTCTTCTCTATTGTGCATCCACTCAAAAGAAGGGCCTACTCAAAGGCTTCCAGGTCCTCAATGGAGGACGTTTATTACTGATCGTCATTTCTCCATCATGCTGCATAAAAATTTTGCCAATTAAGAATGTGATAATTTGGATAGATGCCAAAGTAAAGTCTATCTTTACATTACTAAAAATTTGTTTCCTAAATAAAAATGAAATGGATAAATAAGATGTCAAGGGGACTGTTCAATCAGGGACTATTTCACATATTTTAAGGACTATAATTGATATTATTTAGAAGATACTGAAGATCTTACTTATGTCCCCATACTGCATATGCCCTTAAACCTATTTTGGACAAAACGCTTTTTGTCTAATTGTATGCTGTATATATTGAAAGATTTAAAAACCATTGTTCCTTCCAAAAAATTCCATGCATCCAATTTTCATAAATTCAGACTGGTTTTCCCATTGAGAATAAACTTTGTAACTAGAGGATGGAAGAACTTTGCACGCAGAGGGAACAGCACAGACAACAGCAGTGGCAGCTTATGTAAAATGGCAAGTATGAGATGCTGAAAGATGAGTGCAGCGGTGCAGAGAGAGAAGAATTTACAACCTGGCCTTCCCAGAAAAAGTTTCCCCACCCCTGGCATAGAGGACGTGCTGAAGAGTGGTACTCACTGTGAAAACCTTCTCAGACTGGCCCCGTGCTCTCATGTTGGTGTCATGAATTAACTTCAGAATCATCCAAGCTTCATCGTGCTTTCCAATCTGAGAAACATGAGTAGACAGTGAAGGAAAGTGAACTGCTAGGAGGTGAAATACTCATGCCCTGATTTTCTCATAATTATCTTGTATTTTCAGATCAGCTTGGGTGTAATTGTGCAAATGCATTGAGGTAGGTCCCCCTGGAACATACTGACCACTTGAATATCTTGACTACATTAGCAGGTCACCAGATGTGCCTATAACGAGAAATAGCACCCCTGGATAGTAAAATTTCATATATAAGACAATAAGCCCTGTTCTCTTCATTGAGCAAAAAGTTACTTGCTAGAGGCGGAACAGTAGCGCTCTCTGGCCACCAGGCAGCTTTTCCACAGGCTGCTTGTTGGAAACCCGTCTCCGTGAAACCAAATCCTGCATAGCTCCAGAGGACGAAAGAAAAATGCTCCTCCCAAGGGGGTAGACACGCGTTCCTAGAATTAGCAAGGAGCTCTTTCCAATGTGTGTGGCTTCCTCAAGTGTTTGTAAGAACCAGCGTTACCTCCAACAGGAACCTCGGGCTCTCAGGCATGAACGTGAGGGCCACCACCGAGCAGACGCAGGGGAGCGCGCAGACGATCACGAACACACGCCAGCTGTGGAACTGGTAGGCCGACCCCATGCTGAAGCTCCATCCTGGAAAGGAGGATGGGCAGAGTGAGCGAGGGCGCCGCCCAGGCTGCGGCTGTGAAAGCGAGGACTCCACAGTCACCTGGGTGTCTACACTGCGAGTTTATTAGTCAAATCTTACTACCCACAGAAGAATGATCTGATCTGGGCTTAGCCACAGTGACCGGCTCTCCTTCAAGACCAGCGAGAGCAGTGCTGAGAAAGGTGCTTGGGACCAAAGGGGTCAGCGCCTAAGGATGAGGGTGCATGTACATTTCTATACAACCAAATGCCAAAGGCCAACAGAAATTAATTGGGGAGGATATTTTTCCAGAAGGCCACTGTGCTGAGGATCTTCTGTTTGCGCCTCCGGATCAGTCCCCAGGTCTCTCCACCCTGCCATGTGCCAGGAAACAGATCTCTGTGGACCCATCAACGGGCTCCCTCGCCCACTGGCTTCTGTTGGTCTGAATAGAGGAAGTGCTGGCAGGAGAGCAGAGGGTGGGAGCAGAGCTGGGGACGTTTGTTCTCCTTGTTGTCCTCCTCCCTCCCTCTGGCTGGGTGGAGGTTTGACGGTGGGTGTGCCCATCTCCCGGAAGCTTCTCCTACAGCCACAGCTCCTGGCAGGTCCTGGCAATCCCTCCCTGCTCTTGCCCTTTGAGGCACAGGTGGGCACAGGATGCCTTCGTGGTCCTAGCTCTGAGGCGCTTTATTATTCCTTCTTGGTTTCTCTTAACTTTTCCACATAACTCTTTTGTCTGTGTGTGAGGAAGATTGGCCTTGAGCTAACATCTGTCGCAAACATTCCTCTTTTTGATTGACGAAGATTGTCTCTGAGCTAACATCTGTGCCAATCTTCCTCTATTTTATGTGGGACACCACCGCAGCATGGCTTGAAGAGTGGTGCTAGGTCCACACCTTGGATCTGACCCTGCGAACCCTGGGCCACTGAAGTGGAGCACATGAACTTAACCACTACACCACTGGGGCAGCCCTCCACTTTCAATGACCTCTCCTGAGGATGTCACAGGTTTCCTGCCAGCATCCTGACCAGTACAATTATTAAGGATTGGCAGTTGCGGTATCTCTCTACATGCACATGTCATACAATAGACGGAGAAAATTTTAAATTTCTAAATAGTATTTCTATCATAATATAAAAAAACAAGCCTAAGAGCATGCAAATAGAAATCTCTTCAAGAACTAAAAGAAAGCCAATATTTAAATGAATACAAAATGGTTGAAAGCAAAATTCAAACATGATTCTAAATGAGAAATAATGAGGCATATCAAACCTAATTGAAAACAGAGAGGAGATTTACAGAGGCATAGATGAATTATGGGAGGCAAAATTTTAATTTTTGGCAATGCTTGGTATTCATCAGGCTTTTTGTAAACGAAAGTCAGGTAGTCTACACCCCATCCCCAGGAGAGCAGTAGTATTATTCCTTATGTACACAGGAGCCAAGTGAGATTCTGGAGGTGACATAACTTCCTCAAGGCAACAAGCTCAACTTATATATCTGAATCTTCTCCACCAGGATTCGAGGCAGCACCTTATGCCACGTGCGGCCTCACGTCTATGCACACTCACTCTTGGACACAGACCTTGCTGACAAATGATGTAAACATCAATGACACGCTGTATCAATCTTAGATTAACAAACATTTTTCTGGGAATTTGATACACAAGGATTATGTGGATCGCTAAAGTCGCTATATCATAAACTTTAGGAGGGGCCGTCTACTCTCAATATTTTAAGTAGCAGAAAATCAAAAGTCTCAAATATCCACAACGCAGAGAAATTTTGTGATGGAACAGAGAAAACACACCTTGTTCATTTCACATTGGATCTGAGAGCTTCATATATAGAACTTCTGTTTTAAAAGGTCTATAACCTATTATCTTACACAGTGGATGGAAAAGAAAAGCTTGAGACGGCTGAGTTAAGCAACTGCAATGTTGTAAATTTCAGGCTACTGCACAGCACCGGGGGAAAGAGCAAAGACGAGAGAGGAGACGGGCTCCAGGGCCTCCGCTGAAACAAATTAGTTCAGACGGTGCAGTTTTACAAACAAAAATAGGATGAGTTATTTAACCAAGGAGAAAGTCACACTAGTGGACAGAGCAGGAAGTTTCTTGTGGTCGACAGGATAATGCTCCCTCCCCACCCAAAGACGTCCTCATCCTAGTGCCCAGAACCTGTGACTGTGTGACCTCACACGGCAAAGGGACTTTGCAGGCGTGATTAAGTTAAGGATCTTGAGATAAAGCAATTATCCCATTTTATATGGTTGGGCCCAGCATAAGGATGAGAGTCTATAAAGGAAAGAGAGAGAGTCAGGAGGGTCAGAGTGAGAAAAGGAGATGTGCTGAGCAAAGCAGAGCTCAGACTGGAGAGAGATTCGAAGATGCTACGGTGCTGCCTTTGAAGATGGAGGAAGGGTCCACAAGCCAAGGTCTGTGGGCGGCTTATAGAAGCTGGAAAAGGCAAAGACATGTATTCTCCCTTCGAGCATTCAGAACAAGCCTCCAGAGGCCCTGCCAACCCACGGAGACTTCTGACCTCCAGAATGGAAAATAATAAATTTGCATTGTTTAAACCAGTCAGTTTGCGGAGACCTGTTACAGCAGCCATAGGAAAGCAACACCCTCCTCTTTATAGTCATAGCTCTAGTGCTAACTTGACTGATAGAAATTAAATCGGAGAATGTCAGCTCTTCTCTATGAAACCGCAGGCTTTTGCTCGGACTTCCCCAGATGCCTCTCCAAGGACTTCAGGCTCCCTCTTGACAGCTGGTCTTACAAATGTTGCCCTTCACTCTTACTTCTCTGGAACATCACATCCATCGGGGAGAGACTGATGGCCATGTGATTCCTGTCTGGCAGTTTTCAGCCTACAGAGGAAACTGGATTACACGTAGAATCTAGCTGGTCCAGAGTCTCGCTCCCCCCAGCCTAGAAGGGCGTTTCTTCAGGCCTAGATTCTTCTGTGCAGCAGCTGAAGTTTAGCCTATTCAATACTGTTCACAGCCTTCTCTACTTCATTAGCTGTGAAGTCTGTCTTCTGGGCCCTTGCTTGGTGTGCGTGTGTGTGTGTCATTGTTTCTGAAATATAGCCCTTTTCTTCCCAGAGCTCCAGGAAACCTCTCTCTACCTGCCTGTTCACATCTTCACAGAGATGCCTGAGGGGCTTCTCAAAGGTACTGTGTGCAAAACAGAACTTTTGATTTCCTGCCTAGCTACCAAAGAAAACTCTTGTTTCTCCCTCAATCTTCCCTATTTTAGCAAACAACACACTGCCAGCCACCCAGATATTCATGTCCAAAATCAAGACCTCATCCTTGATTCCTCTTTATCCCCTCACTACCCTCAATGTCCCATCTCTCAGCAAGTTCCATCTCTAAAACGTCTCAAAGCCGCCCACTCCTCCCCATTGCCACAGCACCGCAGAGCCTCTAGCTGGCAAAAAAACCCCTACAGTTTTGCCTTTTCCAGAATGTCAAATAAACGAAATCATACCGTACACAGCTTTTTGAATCTGGCTTCTTACACTGAGCATAACGCATCCATGCAGATTCTTGCTCGTATTAATAGTCTGCTCCTTTTCATTGCTGAGTAGCATTCCATCGTGCAGAGATGTCACAGTTGGTTTACCAAGTCGCCAGTTGAAGGACAGTTAGATCTTTCCCAGTTTTAGGGGATTATAAATAACGCTGTCATCAACACTTCAGACAGGTTTTGGTGTGTCTCAAAGCCTTCCTTTTCTCTTGGGTAACTACCTAGGCAGTGGGTTCTTTGAGTCAAATGATAAGTGTAAGTTCAGCTTTATAAGAAACTGCCAAACTATTTTCCACAGTGGCTGTACCATTTTACATTCCCACCAGTGGTATATGACAGTTCCAGCCGCTTCATGTCCTTCCCCCCACTCTTTGGTCAGTTCTACTTTTCAAACTTTTGGCCATTCTAATAGGTTTTCATTGCATTTCCCTAATGCCTAGTGACATCTTGATTTACTTTTCGTCCATTCAATCATACTTTTACTGAGTGCCTATGTGCGCCAGTCACAGGGGAGTAGCGTCGAACTCCCTTTTAGGATGTGCCCCCCTGGGGTGGGGGGGATGTCAAAGCCTGATGGATGATATTCTGTGGCCTGAATGAGGGGCAGACACAGGCAGGGTCTTAAGAAATGACCCTGCAGAAGCTCTGTAAAACTAAAATACCATTATTTGGATTCTAACCGAATAAAAGAATGAAGGAAGGAGACACTGACCACCATAACCACCCAGCCAAGAATTCCTGGGACCCCTCCCCAGCTCCATTTCAAGATGGCTTAAATTTGAACTTGAGAGTGACATAAAACCTTAAGCCACAAACATCAGGAAGTGGAGACATCAACATGGAGTGAAGGACGAGAATGTGAAACAAGCCACATGCAAGCGGGGAAGCGGTTGTTGCTTCAGGATGCTCATCTGCACTTAGTAAAATGGATTCTCCTAAATGAGCCCTTTATGTTGGCATCACGCCTTTTGTCTTAAAAAAAAAAGATGTTGTGTAGGCGGTGGTTTTAATTGTTTTTTGGACTTTGTTAAAAATATCCATTAAAATGTCATACTGAGGGATTTGTCTACACGTAATGCAAATTCCATGCAGGGAAGGCCCTCAATTAGGGAATTACAGAAAGCAGCTCCTGCACAGCGGCCCTCAGGGTGGCACTGATCAGGGCATGCTGCGGCTTGCATGACGATCAAGGCCATTGACCAGACTCACACTGACGTGCTCTGTGCTGCAGAACCCAGCTGCCAGCCCACGTGCCTGACGGTCTGAAATCTTTCAAGGTGCTAAGGCAGCAGTATGTGGGGCAGGCAGAAGAATGCTGGCCTTCATGGTCTCTTCTTGGCGCTGTCCCGGGTGTGCTGGTGGACTAGCACCTCCCTTACTGATCAAAATTTGGTTGGCAGCTTTGTGATATTATGATCCAATGCTCTAAAATATTAATATTAAGAAATCAATATGATAGGTGAGA